TCATAATGTAATAACAGCTCATAATGTAATAACAGTTCATAATGTAATAATGGCTCATAATGTAATAACAGCTCATAATGTAATAACAGCTCATAATGTAATAATGGCTCATAATGTAATAACAGCTCATAATGTAATAACAGCTCATAATGTAATAATGGCTCACATTGTGAGAAAAAGTGTTGCATTATCATCATTTTTAGGTCAAAACTGCACACACTGACAACGAGAGTGCACTTAAGGGCAGAGGTCTAAGTTTGTGTTTGACTATGATTTGTTTATAGATGGTGCGACAGTAACCAACTCAAAAGCCAGCTGGAGAAGAGGGTGGATTAGGGAAGAAGGAGGGGGACTGTAGTTCATGTAGTTTAAAAGAGCATTTCCTTTGTTTACTATTGCTACAATAAATGCAGGACACAATAACTTCTACAATAAAAACACATTTAAGATTGGTCTTTTCAAATAAGAAAGTGCACACTCTCTCCTTCCATACAACCTAGTGAAGACCTTCCAGTCAAATGTTACTGTTATTTTATTGTTGGTCTTAATGCCAATTTAATAAAGACTTTTAATAAGCATTGTTTTCCTACTACTTATATTAAATACATGACAGCAGCATAACATATTCATTCAATTTACTGTATTTTGGAACTTGTGCAAGAATGAGAAGAGCGTTTTAGAACCATGTAATAACAATGGACCAGCTCAAAAGTTCTTAAAATGTAAACACAGCCTGTCAGGACACCCAAGTAAAAACATAAGTCCAAATAAATTTAACTAAACAATATGCATAAATAATACATAACAGTAAATCATAGTTGCCAACAAAAATCAGGTCCAGGGGGCTCCATTCGTCAGTGACTGTGCCAGTGTTCACTCAGATCAAGGCTTAACGAGTTTTGTTTTTTGTTTTTTTTTAAAAGAAAGCTTTACTTCTTCCAATGAATGTCTTTAATATGGACTCACAGTATGAGCCATTATTACATTATGAACTGTTATTACATTATGAGCGACGCCAGTAAGGCTCATAATGTAATAGGTTATTACATTATTACATTATGCGCAAAGCCGTTATTACGTTATATGCTCATGATTTTATTACATTTTGAGCCGATTATTACATTATGAACTTTTATTACATTTAAGTTATTACATTATGAGCCATTATTACATTATGAGTTGCAACACGTACCCTCTGAGTGGCAAAGCGCACACAGCCCTGTGGTGACGAGTCGTGTTTTGCCTCCAGCTAACAAACAGACGTCATTGTGACTTCAGCCCTAAAAGGGTCTATGTAGTTTTCCATTTTTGCCAATATATCATCATAAACTCTACAGACTGGACCTTTAAACAAACTAGATTTACAATTAAACTGCATTTCTAAAATGTGTAAATCTAAATTGAAATTATGTCTAACTGTGATTTCAATTGCAATGTATTTCATCGTAGGTACCCAGATACTATGAAAATGATTTATGCTTGGAGTCATGTGGATTCTTTCTAATTACACTTTTGAATGTTCTTATGTTTAACTTATGTGAGTCTATTAAACTTATGATGGTTTTGATAGTTTGTTAAATATTAGTCCTCAAAGTGAATTTCTGGGATGATTATCAGACGACCTCAATGAAGGAATTCATGTTTTTTTTTATACTGAGGAAACAGTGCATTTGACACTTGAAATCACTCGCCAAGTAACCTCACCTGACACTCCTTTGAGAGGTTACTCCCTCCACAGAGAGGGAAAGGAAACACAGTTGCCTCAGCAAAGACACCTCTCTGAAGTTACTGACCGAAGAGGAAGATTAACGATCTCCTGCTCAGTGTTGCAACATATGAACAGGCTGCCATCTAGTGTAAGTTACTGATCATTTCTTCCTTTGTCAGCACACTAGGAAATGATCTCACAGGGGGGTCAAACAGGTCTCTGGATTACTGCAAACTTTGTGGAAGGGCTTCAGGCCTACCTGGACTGGACAGAGAGGATTCATGCTGAGTGGGACCACATAGACCCAGTGAAGAATGCATATGCCCTGCAGTCAGTGGCAGGAGAGGTACAGGAAGGAGACTGGATGTGAAGTAGCTGCAGACATAGTGAGAGTTGGCTCAGTCGTCCACAGATCTGATTGGAGAAAAATCACCATAAGTTATGCAGCTATTTTTCTGTGCGGCATACGCAACCCCCGCTTACAGAAACAATCTGCTACTGCCAAAACCAAATTGTAGAAGATGCAAAAATAAAGTTTAAATTCTTGTATACATTTTAAGAATGGTCTTTAACAGTAACTAAAACCATCCAGACAGGTTTTTTTTTACTGTAACTTTCATGTTGCTACCACTGATCCACTTAGATTTGAGTTTTGCCTTTAAGAAATGAATAAATCCAGCAACAGCACCAGCTGAATTTTACAAATGTTTTCTTTGTCTCAAAGACATGTCTGAACAAGTGACATTGTAAATATAAGGTGCTCAAATTTATACT